TTTGAGGGCTGCTGGAAGGAAGAAGAAGAAAGTTAAATGAAAGCAGTGCGGAATGGAGCCATGTTCATTTCTATGTTCTCCCCTGTTTAAGGGGTTGAGGAACACCACCAACTTTTTATGAGTTGTTTGTACCTCCATGGAGACAGTTTTTGTTTCTTTTGTTTAGTGGAACATTGAACCATGCCTAGAGAAACACCATTCTTATAGACTTGGTAATTTATAGAAGAAAGAAAAGAACGTCCTTCAAAAGGATTAAATAAGAGGAAAAACATTTGAAATACGAAGCACAGATCAGGACTGGTAATGCTTTTGTTTATGAGTGCCACTTGCTTTTGTTTAATAAGCTATTAAGAAGTTATATTGGGGATATGATACCTACTATGATTCCATTGGTGTTTGGGATAAGATTTACAGATGAGAAGACTCATTGACGCTGTGATAACTAAGTCAGCTTACTAGCAGAAAAAAGTGGAGGCAGAACTAAGGGAGAGATCAAGAGCTCAATCCTAGTCTTGTTGGAGAGATGGACTCTGGAATTGAAGTCCGAGGCCATAAGAAAAAGGAGGAAGAAATAAGAACAGGAAGAGAAGGAGGAAGTCTTGGGCAGTATAGGCGATTTCCTTCTGGTTGCTAGGGCCTCTGGGAATTATAGTTCCTACTAATTTGAAATAACAGGGCAGTGACCATCTGGGTATATATTAGCCCCCCCCAAGCCCCCCGACCCTGGCAGCAAATGGCAGCAGTGGCGGAGGGAGAGGCCTGACCATCTTGGCCTTTAAGGGCCTCAGTGTTCCTCCCTGACCCTGGAGGTGAATGGAAGTGGTAGCGGAAGGAGACGCCAGACCATCTGGGCATTTAAGGGACCCAGTGCATCTCCCTGATCTTGGCAGCGAGCAGCAGGGTGGCGGAGAGAGACACCTAACTGTGATGTCCAGCCTGGATGGTTTAAATTCTCTCCTGCATTTTCCTTCAATTTCAGTTTAGTTTGAGCATAGGAATGTTCCACTGTATTAGTTTGTGGGAGGAGCTGTAGGAATCCCCTGCATTTTTCTAGTTTTTGGTTTGCCCCTTCTCAGCAAGCTCTGCTTTAGCTTGGGATATTTTAGTTTTTCTTAGGCAGGCTTGGTTTCTTTTGTTTGGTGGCAGCAGGCTCAGGGAGAGGGAAAGGGCATTTCTTACACCTGCAGCCAAATTATTTACCATACAGCCAACTTATTTACCACATTAGCCAATTTAGTTACCTGTAGCAGTTAATTCCAGTAAACATCAACATCAAAGAAAACAAAAGCACCAGAAGCTGAAAGACCCTACACCAGCTTCATTGAGAAGGAGATCAATCTAGGAACAAACTCAGAGAGATGACAACACTGAAGATCATTAAATCTGAACTGTAAATACCTTTTATTTTAAGCCTATTAGAGCTTGGGAGGAGAAACCCTT